TAATATAATGATACATAATGAACATCAAAATTTTTTGTTTACAAGTTTAGATTCACTGTTATAAATATATAATTTTAGAATTATATTTAATAAATATAAGAAAAATTAAAACCTAAAAAAACTAATTTTTAAAAAATTAAAAACATATTTAAAATGCAAAAACTCATGAAATTTTTTTTTTAGACAATAAAGATAACATTAAAGGAAAATAGTATATCAACATCTTCTACATGTATTTAAAATTTCTACCATATGAAGTAGTATTTTATATTAAAATTTAGTACTATAGAAAAAATGGGAATTTTCCCTTCATTTTCAAGTCACCTGACAACTTATGTAATGAGTTATATAATACTACACAATTAAAAATGTAGAATTCTATCAATTTAGTTAATGAAATTATATTAGATTAAATGAAATTGAAATAAATTTAATAGTTTATTGATAATTTTGAAAGGTAATAAAGAATCTAAACTAAAACGGAAAAAAAAATAATAATAATTAATAAACCATTTATTAAATTAAGCCTTTCTGCTATTGTCAAAAGTAGAGACTTTAGTCTCTTCTTTGCTTTTTCTTCAAGACTTGCCCACAAAGTTGCCATAGCAGAGTGGAGCTGGATTTCCACATTTCCTCCTTTCACAATTCTCATAAAGAAGGAAAAAAAAATGTAAAATTTTTAACTGTGACCCGCTAAAGTTTGAAACCATGGATTCTACCAAGAAAGGAAACTTAGGAGCCTCAATCCATGTAACTGTAGTAGTCAACCTTGTAATTTGAAGAGACGGTGGAGACATTATATAACATGCTACACAATTTTCTTAGCTCATTACTGCCAAGAAAATGATATCCAGGATGTTTGCTATTACATTACATATACTAGCCTTCCACTTTTATGTTTAACATTTTTATTTCAAGTGATGATGGTCTACCGTCCCTGCAACTTTGAAATTGTTACTTCATTTACTGAAACACGTTCATACTGGCTTGATGAAACCTCTTCTTCTGGTAGATTCCTTTCGGTGTAAAAACCAGGAAGTTTTGGTTGAGGCAATGGATTTTCACTGCTCAATATTAGAACCACTGATGACATATCTGGCCTTTCCTTTGGTCGTTTCTGAACACATAGTAAAGCCACATGAATGCAGCGTAGAATCTCAGAAACAGTGTAAGAGTCACCTAACATGGTGTCCATTACTTCCAATGCTCTTTCTTCCATCCATAGTCTCCATGCCTAAAAATATTAAAAATCAAATATATGCATAGCATAGAAGGCCAAAAACAAACATATATGCAGGGCATTGTTCAAGAAAGTAATATGTTGTTTCTTTATGCTTACATGTCCAAGAAGATTATGATTGTGATCCGAGTGGTGAAATCCTCTGTTCTTCTTCCCACTTATGATCTCGAGTACTGTCACACCAAAGCTGAAGACATCAGATTTTATTGAGAAGTGCCCATCTACCGCATACTCAGGAGACTTATAACCACTGCAAAAATATCATTACAAGCAAAGTGAAAACTGTGTGGCCTTAGATACAAATACCTATATTCTGCATTATATTCACTTCTACTTACTAAGTTCCAACAACTCTA